ACCTAACAGCATGATCGGTTCATTCGCTCCAACACTCCGCAGTAAGAGCTTGAAAGTCTTGATCGCTTGTGCAGGTAGTGTCTGGTACCATACATCAACTGAAGGAATGTAGATGACACTGGGCTTGTGTCGTCTGACCTCTGTAAATAGCTGAGTGATGGCTGCCTCGGGCGCTCGGGTGGAGTCCTCAAGAATAGTTGGAAGATCGAAAGATTGAACATGCAGACCCTCGATCTTGTTCAACAGTGCAGCACCAAGATATTGTTGACCCATGCCTTGGAGGCCGCTGATGAGCAAACGGGGTCTGAAGATCCTGCTGCTCTCAAAGTTGCGCATGGTGGCTTCGCGCTCGAAGCCTTTCTCGTCGTCGCGGTCGTCGTACTCAGCTTCCTCCAGCGCAGTAAGCTTCTTCCTCCGAGGGATAAGCTCATCTATACGCTTCAAGATTGCAGCGAGGGGCTTCCGTAGTAATGGCTCGATATTCTTGCCTAGTGGTGCTGCGCTAGCCGTGACTGTTCGCTGCGAAGACGGCACCATCTTGTTGACCGAGATCATGAAATCCTTCGCCAGGATTTTGATGGTGCTAGGATCGATCAAGAGCTTTTTCTCGGAGGTGTAGATCTGAGGGTACGTCCCCTGCACTGCATTGAGAGCTGCTTCTGTGCACAGCGCTCGAATATCGGCACCTCCGTAGCCCTTGGTCAACTCTGCAAGCTGGTCCTTCATCTCCGGCTTCAAGGGTGGCTCCCACTTCTTCGTGTGGATGTCAATAATAGAGCGTCGACCTGCGACGTCTGGCAACGGGAAATAAAATTCGCGATCGAATCGTCCTGGGCGCCGAAGCGCAGGGTCTACAGAATCTGGACGGTTGGTGGCACCAATCACGATGACTTGTCCTCGGCCGTCCATACCATCCATGAGAGCGAGCAAAGTAGCGACGATCGAAGCATGGATCTGCTCTTGCTTACTGGAGCGAACAGGCGCCAGACCATCAATCTCGTCGAAAAAGATGATACTCGGTTGTGTCTTCCGCGCTTCCTCGAACAGGAGACGAAGCTGCCTTTCAGCCTCTCCGACCCACTTGCTCAAAGCATCAGCACCTTTGCGCATGTAGAAAGTGACCTTCTGTCCGTGAGTGCTAACGCTGGAAGCGAGAGCTCTGGCAAGAAGTGTCTTACCAGTACCGGGCGGACCGTGGAATAAGACACCTCGGGGCGGAGTGATCTTGAAGCGCTGGAACACTTCGGGATATAGCAAAGGAAGCATGACCATCTCTTTGAGCTTGTTGATGTGATCATCAAGGCCACCGACGCCATCGAAGTTGACATTCGGGTCAACTCCAAGGGGGTCAGAATCTGCGAGGGCCTTCTTGTCCTTGACCTTGCCCAGGTTCGCAGGGCCACCACCAGAGTCTTGCTTAGGATCTGCGTTATTGGTCTGGGGAAACCCGAAAGTAGGGGCGGTCGCCGTAGTAGGAGTCATGCCGATCATGCCACCAACGGGCTTGGGCATCTTTTGATTCTCATCTTCACTGCTGTCAGAGTCACCACCAGCAGCGCCCATGCCAGCCTCCACGCCACCACCAAAAGGGCCCTGACTACGCCATAGGCTTTTGTATGTGGAACGTCCGCCTCGTGCCCTGGGTCGTTCCATAACGGGCCCATCGTCGTCGTCGTTCTCGAAGATAGTATTCTGCTCTGGACGAACAACACGGTAGTCGGGGGCGTTACGGGCGCGGCGTTTGGGCGCTTCGTCATAGACCAGGTCCTTGTCAGGGTTACGTCGAGAGAGGCGTCGTCGTTTGTTGTATTCTAGCTCTTCAATCTCATCTTGTAATTCGTCCTGATCTAGCCCAGACTCTTCTGAAGAAGAGTTGCGCCTGCTACGCTGCGATTGACTCTTCTTCCCTCGTAGGCGGGTCGAGCGCCGTCCTGAACCCGATGCGCTTTCGGATGCCGAGCGCTTGCCCTTCTCGTGATCCGACTCCGACATCTCCTCTTCCTTGTCGTCGTCTGCGGGAGGCTCGAAATCGCTACTCTCGTCTGCGCCCTTCTTGCGTTTGGCGGAAACGGCACGGGTCTAGCAGAAAACGTTAGCTACGGAAGAAGTCATAAATGGGTACTTGGACATGCCCTTGTGTTGCGCCCTCCACGGGTGACTGGGCCCTCCTCGTCAGACTCTTCCTCAGCGGCTTCTTCGTGCTGAGACTCCTGGATGACACCTTCCATATCGTCATCGTCCTCGCCTTCAGCATCGTCCTGCTGGGCTTCTTGTACGGGCGAACTGTCCTTGCTAGCTTTGACTTGAGTTTCCTCGCCCGTGAGAAGCGCGTCAAGGGGACCAGGACTGTCCTCACGAATCATCGAGGTCTCTTGCGAAGCCTCCATGATGGCACTGGGATGCTGAACCCTCGGGCCTTTGCCACCTCGTGTGGCGCGCGCGATGACAGGCTCGGGGCTGCGAGTGCCTTCGCGCACAACTTTGACGTGCCGGCCCGAGTCTGTAAGCTGAACAATGGGCTCTTCAACGTCGTGCGATAAGCGATTGCTGCGTCGCGTGCCGTGTACTTCAGGCGTCTTTCCGCGCGCAAGAGACTTGCTGCCGGTGCGCGTGCGCAGACTGCGACCCGAGGCGTGATCGGGCATCTTCAGTTTCACAATGAGCGAAGGCTTCTCGACTTGTTCGATAGACGGCTGTGCTCGGCGGCGCGATGCAGGTTTGGGCGCGTCGTCCTCTGACGGCGTGTCTTCGATTTCGTCTTCGCTCTCTTCGTACTTGATCTGCTTCTTGGTGGCGCGGCGCACGCTTCTGCCTGTCGCAGGATTGATTTCGGGCTCCTCCGACTCGGAGCGCTCTGTGAAGGAATCGTCTGACTCTATCTCGTCGTCGTCGTCAATATCAGAGCCGCCGTAGGCGCGTCGCTGGCGCTTGGAGGGCTTCTTCTTAGCTCCAGGCGTGTGTCGATTACGGCGCCGCTGGGGCGCGGCGCGTCTTTCCGAGTCGTCGTAATCGTAGTCGTCGGGGTCGGATGCGTTGGGGTCGATGTCGAACTTGCGCTTTGCTCGGCTAGACATGAGGACTCGTCGCGGTGAAGCCTGTTGCGGTCCTGCGGCACAATGTGAGTGAACGGGCCCGAAGAAGCGTCGCGGTGAGGGCGCGCTTACACCGCTGATTTAGATTTTCTGAGCTTCAAGATGACATTAGATGCAGAGAGATGGTCTGCTGCATATGCGCTGATGATGGCGAGTGTATGCGCGATGCTGGCGGGCGTGTCGCCTGGACGTCGTGTTGTTTTGAATTGGGGAGTGAAGACTCGATTGCGCGATGCACAGGTGAAGACGGCGCAGAATTCAACAAAAGCGACTAACAGAAGAATTATTATCTTGATAAATGCCACCGAGAAGCGAAATGTTCGAGATAGGCAGATGTGGTCGAGGGGTGTTGGGGATGCGCTGAAGGCCGACGGGTCCCATCCCAAATACGCTAACTCAACCCGAACTCAGAACAAGGGAACACTTTTTAGATGCACCACCACAACAATAACGAAGCGCTTTATTTCTCGACTTCTGGCACTGCAAAATGCATCAAAATGCACAGAGATCGTCGAGTCGCTACTCTGCCAGCAAACTCCGCAGCTTTTCGGGAGTCTTCCGACATGTTTTGAATCACTATTTAAGCCCTTTCTTTTCTACTTGCAGCTCTTCTTGCCGTCGGTTCCTGCATGATCGACATGCGGCTCTAAAAGCTTAACGCGTTTAGAGCTTGCTGGCATGTGTGGGGAAGAGCGAACTATGCACGTGCACCACGTGCTGGAACGACTCCGGTCACCGCACCCCTGAGCATCGTCGCTAATAACGCAGAGATTCTGCTTCTGGGTTTATTTGCTGAGATTATGTACTTGTCTCTCAAATGACCTGCTACACTTAGTTGTTGTCATAGTCGTCGTTGTCATTGAAAGACGTTCGTACTTTGTCGTTGACCGACACGTATCTTATCAAGTCGAGTCGCATGAAATAACCGGTTCTGTGATAAAAGGAGGGGGGGTCATTTGTTGGTAAGCAGTGTGTGCTTAGGTGTGGTGTTGAGTGCAGTTCAGGTGGGTATTGAGGCTAGGTAGTCGCTGGGTGTCGCCGCGAACATCGATTGAGATTCAGTCCATGTTCTGCAAGAATCTAGTACAAATTCTGCATACACGGCATAATGAGACGAGCCTCATTAAATATGCTCTGATAGATGTGATGCTACTCACTCTTGCAACAGGAGTAGAGCACTGGTGTGGTCGTAGAGCGTCCTCGTCACTGCGTTGTCAGGGCCCATCTCAGTTCTCGCTAGATACCAACTCTGAACAAGGCCTGGCGAGAATCGGACGACTTTCCGTCTCAACAACGTTTAATACTAGGTCCTCCTCAGCCCAGCTCACTCATTCAGTTGAGCTTAAAGTCGGTGTGCCTCATTTATGTTGTGATAATCGCGGTCCGAACACTTTATACGCTCTTGACGCTGTATACGCCGCATACGCGATTATTCTTCCAATGGTATGCTACTTGCTTACTTGGAGAAGAAGTAAAAGTCACTTGAATATGCAAATAATTGAAAGGGAACCTCCTCAAAAAGGATCACAATATTCTTACGTTGTCATTGATCATCGCGGAGCTGCCTCCGGATTGCCCATAGCAATCCCACCCAGCGCAAGCCGAACCCCGCAGTTTGGCCATAGCTCTGCTCAACGTCATAGGCTCATAAAGCTCCACCAAACCCCATCCGAACACTAGCCTACGAGCAATTGACGTCTTCAGGTGGGCTAAGCTATCTTTATTCCCACGTGTGCCGCCTTTAGAGGGGGCGAGTCCGTTGTAGTTTATAATCGATCTTCACACCCACTCATAGACGCCATGCGCTCTTTTGTAACAGCAACTCGATCACTCGGACGCCAACAAGCTTATAGAAGTCGCTTCCAGAAGAGGCCATTACCAGTAATTGTTTCGCGAGGATACGCCAACATGGGTCATTCAGTACCACCGGTATGTTTTGCCCTCAGCTGTGCGAGCATTGTGGATTGCGTAGGCGCTGACAGCTTGCACAGCTCAATGACAAGTCTCTCTTGAAGAGCCAGACATATGTCAACGGAGAATGGATAGATGCAAAGTCGGGCAAGACTTTCGAGGTCCATGGTATTTCTGTCTTTCAAACTCTTCAGAGACCGTCCCTCTAACTGGTAGCAGATCCTGCAACGGGCAAGCTCATTGGCACCATGCCCGAGATGGACCGCGCCGACACCGAAGCCGCCATCTCAGCAGCATCTGCCGCACTCCCTTCTTTCCGCAAACTTACCGGTCGCGAGCGCTCGCGCATGCTACGGAAATGGTATCAATTAATGATGGATAACGCGGAGGACCTGGCAAAGCTTATAACGTGGGAGAATGGAAAGCCCATGGCAGATGCTAAGGGCGAGGTCAACTACGCTGCGAGTTTCTACGAGTGGTTCGCGGAAGAGGCGCCACGCATGTATGGAGCCACCATCCCAGCCTCGGTTGCTGGTAATCGCGTGTTCACTATCAAAGAGCCCGTCGGTGTTGTAGGATTGATCACACCGTGAGTTCTGCACTCTGCCTTGGAGAAACATGGCTAACGATATCAGATGGAACTTCCCAGCAGCTATGATCACACGAAAGATTGGCCCAGCTCTAGCAGCTGGTTGCACTGTCGTTGCGAAGTCTCCTGGCGAGACACCTTTCACAGCAGCAGCTCTCGCCGAGCTTGCACACCGAGCAGGAATCCCTAAGGGTGTCGTCAACTTCGTCACAGCACTCAAGAACACACCAGAAGTTGGCGAGACCATCACATCAAGCAAAACCGTCAAAAAGGTCTCATTCACAGGATCAACCGGCGTCGGAAAGCTTCTGATGAAGCAGTCGTCGGACACGCTGAAGAAGCTTTCTTTTGAGCTTGGTGGAAACGCGCCTTTCATCGTCTTCGATGACGCCGACCTTGAGACAGCAGTAACCGGAGCTATCGCATCCAAGTTCCGTTCCTCGGGCCAAACATGTGTATGTGCCAACAGGATTTACGTCCAATCAGGTATCTACGATGAGTTCTGCACCAGGTTCACTGAGAAGGTCAAGAGCTTCAAGGTCGGTGGCGGTTATGAAGAGGGAATCACGCACGGCCCACTGATCCATGACCGCGCTGTCTCCAAGGTGGATGCTCACGTCCAGGATGCCGTCAAGAACGGCGCAAAGGTCTTGTTCGGAGGACAAAAGCTACCCGATCTTGGGGAGAACTTCTACCAACCGACAGTCCTCCGCGACATGACCAAGGACATGCAGCTCGCCAAAGACGAGACTTTTGGCCCTGTTGCTGGACTCTTCCCCTTCGATACCGAAGCCGATGTCGTTAGCCTCGCCAATGCGGCTGACGTGGGACTTGCAGGTTACTTCTTCAGCAAAGATATCCAGAGAGTTTATAGGGTGGCTGAAGCCCTCGAAGTTGGTATGGTTGGTGTCAACACCGGTCTTATCTCGGATGCAGCTGCACCTTTCGGAGGTGTCAAGGAGTCTGGATTTGGACGAGAAGGAAGTCACTTGGGTATCGAGGAATATGTTGTCACGAAGACGATTACCATGGGTGGAAATGGCCAGCCGTTGCAGGGCGAGTAGAAGATATCCACAGACGGCTTTGCGAGGTGGTTCAATAGAATCCATCACACCGAACGTCGTACATTACGTATGCGTGAATATGATAATTCTTACAATGAGGGTGGTGCTCAGGCTATGCAACATAGAAAGATCCCCATGAAGTTTATGAGGATGTTCCGAGAAAAGCCGCTAGCGTGTCATGTTCGTGATTTTGGAGTTTAGTCCAACGCGTATCCCAAGGTCTACACAGCAACGCGCATCTGTACTATCGTGCCCTTTTGCCATTTTGGCACCTGGCGAACAACTCTATTTCTGCCACTATCGCCATCCTACCAGAACGATGTGTTCCAAATAACCTTGACATGACTGAAAAGAGCCAATTGTGTCTTGGCATCGTGATCAGCAATCATTATCCACCGGTACCTCATCCGACAGAGCCCTAGAAGCGCTTGATGGCTTTCGATCGTCTAGTACTCATCGCCGCCGAGAGCACATTGATATATGTAGCACATTCATACACATTTACCACAACCAATCCAACGTCTACGTCAAAGGAGAGCCCGACGTGCAATAACAAAACCCTCGACTTGCGGCCCGCAATGGTAGCTCTGTTACTCCGATGTCTGGATTTATAAGTTTCGCAACTTGCCGCGCACGTGATAGACAGAAAACCGTGATGAGTATTGACAATCGAGAGCCACTTCGTTGACTTCAAGACATTCCAACATGGTACGATCAAGCGCTTGGCTTTTTCTACCTTTCTCAATTGTCTCATCGGCCAATCGCCTCCAGCAGTCGCCATGATGCGATGGCTCAAACACAGTAAGAGTTTGGGGACGGCAGTTTGAATGGAAACAAACATGTTGCACCAATGGTATCAGGAAATGGAGACATGGAGAGTGCGAAGGACGAGGTTGGATCATTGATTGCGGGTGCCGATGTAGAAGTTACTGAGGCAATCGCACACAATGTACCCTGTCTCGCGGTCTAGGAAAGTTCAAGAAGAGTGCTCCTGCCAATCGTTCCTTTGTGAAGGTAGCGATGCAAGGACGTCGCTCTACGTGCGCCAATATCAGAAATAGCGAAGCTTTCTTGGACACAACCTAGGAAGCTACTTCAGAGGCAATGCCAAAAATCTCGGAAACAACAGCACCACCGACATCACCGCATCCGGAATCCAGTGCTACCGAGAAAGAGGAGATGCAACAACACCTAGAGAAAGCCGACGAGAGTTTTGTCTCGTTTAACAAAGAAGAAGGGCCGGAGCACGTTATGTCTCATCAGCAGGCAGACGAGACTGCAGCTTTGTACGAAGCCACAACTTTACGAGAGACTGTAGCTGCACAAGAGATAGAAGACGATCATGCAGTCCAATCACCCATATCGGCATACGATGTTATCGATGAAGAGCCGGTACGAGTGGAGGTTCCCACCACATCGATTTCAGGTCTAATGGCTTTCAATGCACCACCAACACAAATAGAGGCTACCACAACATCGTGTTCAACCCCAACACCTCCCAATGCAATCCCGGTAACCTCGAACCAACCAACCCAACTCCTTGAAGGCCAGAGAGGTATCCGCCCTGGAGAACTGCTCACAAACAAGGATACAGAAGTCCATGCTGTAACATCAGCGTCACCCTCAGATCACACCTTGTCTATCTCTGCATACACGGCAGAACGAAATTCTTTAAAACATCAGCTTGTCGAAGACGAGAACGAAGAGCCAGTGGGCTATATTGATGAAAGATCAACAAAACGAACGCGATCCACGGACAGCCGTAAATCCATCGGCGATCGCAGTACACCAGTTCGTCGCTCATATCCCAGCACGTGGGACGGATACGAATGGGCGCTTGTCAATGAGAATATGAGGCATGGGCCGGATCAAGCCTTGGATCTTAATTCTGAAGATAGGCCAGCTCCATCGATCGTTGACCTGTCTATCATGGATCAGAAACCTATCATCAAGCAGGATCCTGATGAACTTCCGATGAATGCACTAGCTTCTTCACATTCAATCACTCTGACACCAACTCTGTCTGTCTCATCAATCATACGCCAGCCACCAACAGGACCAAATGCAGCAACAGAGCATGTTGACCTTTTTTCTCTCTGCATACCATGCACTGGGCCCAATAGGGCTCCCCTTCCAGCGTCGGAAAACGAGCTCAGCCTTTTAGCAGATATACAAAGGAAGGCAAGAAGGATATTGAGTGGCGAAAAGGATAGAGTTGACATTCGAAGCCGTATCCCAGCCTGGATGCGCAATGGTCTATCGGAAGAGCAGAAAAAAGGCATTGTTAAGATACAGAAAAAAATCAACACAATGCAAAAGAAGATCAGGGCTTCACAGTCGGAGAAAAAAGGTGGCAATGTGAAAGCGAAAGGTGCCAACACCGCCCCTACTAGGCCTACTCCAACACCTACCAAATACACATCTGCTTCGGTCATGCACTGGCAAACATTTCATGCGGTCGCACCAACGCCATCACAGGCACACCCTTTGGCACGTCAACAAACTCTTCTGCCCTTTGGTCTTGAACCTCTCGACTACGGCAATTTGTTCGGCCCGGCCTTAGTATATAGTGCACTAGAACAGGTCAACAACATGCTCGAAATGTTCGAGGCCAATGTAAGATGTTCTCTTTCCGGCCTCGACTTGATAAACCTACAAAAGAGCACCGGAAGAGTACAAAACCCACCTCCGCCGGGCTGCGCGTCCCTTTCACTTGCGAATCAACCTTATCCCAAACTGGTCGGTCCGTCTCTGGTACATCACGCGCTACAGGAGATAAACGAGATGATGAGATCTTTTGGGCTTCTTCAGCAGTTCGCCTTGTGTTGGAAAGATCTGCGACAGGTGCAGCATTAGGTCTTTGCCTTGTCTCCAGATTATCGTTGTGATGCTCTGGATCACACGGTGAGACAGACGTAGTATGGTTTCTTTTCCTGTACATTTATTATCATGCTTGTGCGCAAGCAGCTGCGCATGGATCCTCAGAGTACTTTAACATTCCATGTACTATTGTGTAAACTTCAGTCACGTGTGGTGATGAACTGAGCGTATCTAGCATTATCACTCCCAAATACATGCACTTCAACTTAGCGAAACCACGTGGAGTATCATAACTTCAAGGTCATCATTGAAAGTTGTTCATTTTCATGCCGGTGTACCCAGCACTATCGTTGGATACATACGTGAGGTCCTGAATGTAATACCCCGCGCCATAACCCTTATGCTAGAAAGAACCCAAAAACAAACCCTCTAGTACCTCTTACCCTCACGGAGGATGTCGCTGTACTCCTCGAGCGGGGATGGGGTAAGCTTCTTCTCAGCCCACAGGTTGGGGGTGAGGAAACCGTAGGTGTGTGCGACAGCTACGAAGGTAGCCTTCAGGGTGTTCTCAAGAGTCTTGGTTGAACCGGAAGAGGCAGTGTAGATGTCGGCGACACCAGCCAATTGCAAGAGACGCTTGACAGCGGGCGATGCGACAAGGCCGGTACCACGGGGAGCGGGAATGAGACGGACAGTGACGGAACCGCACTTTCCGCTCTCCTTGGTGGGGAGCGAGTGAGGCTCACCAAGGTTGGTACCCCAGTAACCTCTTCGGATGGGGACAACGGAGAGCTTGGCGATGATGATGGCGGCGCGGATGGCGGTAGCGACTTCCTTGGAGGTCTTGATACCAAGACCAATGTGGCCCTCGGAGTCACCGATGACGACGATAGCCTTGAAGCGGGTACGCTGACCGGCACGGGTCTGCTTCTGGACAGGCTTGATCTTCATGACCTCGTCCTTGAGCTTGGGGAGGAAGAAGTCGACGACCTGGTACTCCTTGATGGGGAGAGAGTGGAGGTAGCTGTCCGCTGTCAGTACGAATTCCTTGCCCAATCCCGCTTGAGAACGTACATCTCCTCCATGCTCTTGATCTTGCCGGCCTTTACGAGACGGCCGAGCTTGGTGACGGGCTGCCATTCCTTCTCCTGTGCCAATTGTCAATTTCCTGCTATTTGTCCCTCCACAGCCTTCATATGCGCACCTCAGTCTTTCCGCCACGGCGGCCACGGCCACGTCCGCGACCACGTCCACGGTCACCACCGCGGTCTCCACGAGAACCGAATCCGCCGCGAGCGGGGGCAGGAGCGTCAGCCATGATGTATGTTGGTGGGGTATACGGCTGCTGGATTTGCGATTAGCGACGGGCTTGAGAGTGAGAAGAGGTGGAAGAGCGTACGATTGAGAGTTCCTGGGAGTTAGTGCGTGCTGTTGTCGCGGTCGCACTTGCAACTTTCGATATTGAAATGCTCGCTTAGGTCGTGGATGTCACTAGCCGTATTGGGTTTGGCGCACCTACGCTACATGTGGATGAGTTGCAGGTGGTTCACCAATGACCACCACAACTACAAGGCGCAACCTCTGCAGAGTCCAGTTTGTATGCAGCTGTGCCTGTTTTCATCCTCGTGAGACCTTCTGCACAGAGATCTGACATGAGAAGTGCCTCTGACAAGTACTTGAAGCGACTGGATCACCTAAGGAGGCAAGATCGGTATGTCAATGGAGCGCAAACGTATCGCATTTCACAGGACATCTCAAGTGTGACTGCACCCAGTGCGCTCCTTGGTCACTAGACGGAAGATTGTCTTGCGCACCGACGCTGCCTATCGCGCTGTCCAAGCTGCTCGGAATGACGTGGCTGACTAAGGGCGCTTTGAGCGCGCATGACTCGTTCACATGCTCGAGGTACCAACGATATCACATGCACGAACACTTGTCTCCAACGCTTCGACAATAATTTCACGGGCCACGCTGCGAGATCGTGGTTCATTACAATGTCTATCTTCAATTCAGTCCTCGGCTCGTTCTCGCCTCCGCCGCGATTTAGAAAGTCGTTTGAAGACCCGCACGCGCGTGAACATGAGCTACCACTATACAACTCTCCGCCATCTCCGCGAATACCACCGCCTGTGACTTCGTCAGTACTATGGAACGCTCCAAGAACTAGCCTGTCTCCGCCTCCACGCGTTCCTGACGACCTGCTAGCTTTGCAGCGGCGAGCTAGATACCTCGAACAACAGCTGCAAGAGCTACTCGACGCACAAGCCGATGGTCTAATGGGTGGACGTGGCGCTGGAGATGCTACACCGGATGATCTTGTGTCGAACGGAAGCACTACACCAACTGTGAGCAGCGTCCGGTCGAGCGATCGAGGTGCGGAGAACGGTAACGGCCATAACGGAGCACGGAGGAAGAAAGTGGGGCTAAATGCAGCGAGACAAGGCATATCTAGACGGATAAGACAGCTTGCCAGCGTCAAGTCTGAGGAGCTTGATCTTTTAGACGAGGACCTGAGGAAGCTGCAAAGCACAGTAGAGAAGACCGACGGGTGGAGTCAGAAGCGCATACGGCTGGAAAAGAAGATCAGAGATATAGAGAACGAGGACGCTGGCGCAAAGGCACAGAGCTTACAGACGGAAGCCTCGAAGCTAGAGCAGGAGATTCGCCAGAAAGAAGAGGAACTATGGGCGCTCAAAAGACGACATCGAAAGGTCTTGGACGAACTGGCTGATACAGAGAACTCGGTGGAAGCGAAGTTGGCATCGTACAAGACATCGTTGTCACTGTTAGATCGTGAAGTTTCCAATTTCCTTGCGCGACCTCCAAACGCGGATCACGTTCCAATGTCATCATCACCGTTCCTTACACTACCTGCAAAACGGCGGACGCTCGACATGGCGCGCGAATTCTGGCAAGACGAGTACACAAGACTGGCTGAAAGGTGTGAGAAGGTTGATACAGATCGAGGTGCGCTTGACGAAGGTGCACTTTTGTGGGCAGATGTTATGAAGAGAGTCGAAGACTATGAAACAAGCCTACAGAACTCTATGCGATCAACGACACGGAAGAGCACCCCTGATCCCACCAGGCTTCTCGAGCAGATGGACGCAACCATTACCTACCTAGAGGAGAAGCTAGAGTTTGCTTCGTCGCGAAGTTGGAATTTGTTAGTTTGCGCCATTGGTGCCGAGCTCGAAGCTTTTACACAAGGCAGAAACATGTTAGAAGAGGCTCTTGGTTCGAAACGAAAGGGTAAAGAGCGAGCTACACAACCGCTGATAGACCATGATGGCTTTGAGACCAAACAACCAGAGGAGATGACAGGGTCTGCTATAAGGATTGGTCGTTCTCCGCCGAGACAACCTACGCCGCCCAAGCAGACGTATTTTGACTCCGAAGATGAGGATCCAGATCCTGAGCTTATGATTTCGCATCAGGATACCGATACTGACTGAGCTGGAAACGCGGTCCTTCCTCGGCGTATTTTTCGAGATTAGATATTCCTCCGAGTAGCCACACTCTGTGTAATTGTTGAATCATATCAAATCTACTCACTTGCTTATCAAATAGTGCGCACTTAACTCGAAGGAGCTTGTTTCTCATCAATGGTGCCCTATCTCTGCAAATATTGGATAGACCCAAAAGATGCATACTGCCATCTTCTCTAGTGGAGCAACAACGCAGAATGCTATATATGCTTTCAGAGTAAATCTCCATATACAAGCTACAACCTATGAAAGAAGAGCTTCTTCATGTGCGGAAGTCCGTCTTGATCTATCGATAAGAGTGGGGCGTTCGGAGATAATCCTATTACCGCGACTACTACAAAGCTCCCGCCCATTACGAGCATTGCTCTTATATCGCCTCGGCACATCTTGCGACATCTACAGAATAACGTTTTCGCAAACATGAGTTCGTCGCACGCCCCAACTAGTCCACCCGCCGAGGATGACCCAGCCAGAACCATTGTATACGATCCGAGCGACCCGTTCTGGCGAGAAACCGACGACGAGTATGATGACGACATGGACTTTGTACCTGCAGAAGAGGGCACCGACGATAACGATGAAGGTGAAGCTGATCTGAGCTTTCACGGTATACTTGGCTTTATGATACATAGTCTGTGATCTATCTACTAACATAATTGTAAGATGCCGCAGAACGATTGAGCAATCTCAGCGGAGTGGAGATCGCATTCGAATACACCGATGATAACGACGATGACGACGACGATGACGACGAAGATGAAGAGAACGGAGAGGACGACGAAGATGGAGACGAGAACGAGGAAGAGAACGACGATGCAGAGGAAGACGAGATGGACAACCCCCGCCAGCCAATTATGATTACGCGCGAGCAGATAATGCAGTTGCTTGGACACGCTGGATTGGGCCGCATATTCGCCACCGATTTCATTCCACGATCCGCGCTCCGGCGACGCAGACTCGATGAGGACGACGAAGACGAGGACGAAGACGATGGCTACGACCCTCTCGGTTCGACGAGGACCTCTGGAAGGAGGCGACGACCACGAGGCATAGATTTGTTTGAAAAGGTGCCTAGCGAGCAGGGTCAGGAATTGATGCAAGGGGGCAACTTCGGAACAAATCCTCGATCGCAAGACACACTTAAGCGAAAAAAGAAGTTAGCTTACAACATCATGCGACGAGAGTTAGGTATTGGTGGTGACGGTCGCCAGAAGAATTCCACGAGATTGTTGAGGCAAGAAATGATACCAGAATCAGTGGCCGACACAATCATTCACTACAATGCGCGATGCTATTCAGGACAGTTTTCAGACGATGGCAACTTCTTCTTTTCATGCGCTCAGGATTTCAAAGTACGCATGTATGACACATCGAATCCATACGATTGGAAGTACTACAAGGCAAGCAGCAATCTCGAACTCGAAGCTCCGCAAAGCTAATATATTGCAGACTGTAAGGTATGATGGTGGTCAATGGACGATTACGGATGCATCATTAAGTCCAGACAATCGCTTTCTGGCATACAGCTCCATTAGGAGTATTGTCGCACTAGCACACACCGACCCTGACAACGATTCTGAACCACACTATCTTGATTTTGCAGACCTCGGTCGGCCTACCCCACGTGGGTATCGCGGATATTTTGGTGTAAGATGTGTTTATCAACATTTGAGACTGTGGCTGACCCATCCAGATCTGGTCGATAAGATTCTCTGGCGATGGTCGCGAAATTGTAGCAGGAACGGGAGACAGTTCTGTTTATGTATACGACATTGAACGTCGTCAGTCAGTGCTACGCATACCAGGTCATCAAGATGATGTGAATGCAGTCTGCTTCGGCGACACTCAATCGCCACATATTCTTTACTCTGGCTCCGACGACACAACGCTCAAGGTCTGGGATCGAAGAAGTATGGGTGACGGTCGCGAAGCCGGTGTTTTTCTGGGACACACTGAGGGCTTGACATATGTCGACAGCAAGGGAGATGGACGATACGTGCTTAGTAACGGCAAAGATCAGACTGCTAAGCTGTGGGATCTGAGGAAGATGATGTCAAAGGAGAAGGCAGACGGCATTGATCCCAATGCATACACCAACCGCTTCGAGTACCGATCCAACGCATACGACTTTGATGAGTACCGTCCGCATCCACATGACTGCTCACTTGTTACGTTCCGCGGGCACAAGGTGTTGAAGACGCTTATTCGATGTCACTTTTCGCCTCCTGGTAGCACAGATTCGCGATATGTTTACTCTGGCAGCTACGACGGCTCGGTCTACATCTGGAACATGGATGCGACAATTGCTGGCAAGGTCGATGTTCTCAAGGCAACCAGGAACTCACGACCACGCGACCCAGATCTTCTTGCTGGAATGTACGAGCACTGGGGTAGAAACGAGGGCAGATGGCAGACGTGTGTTCGTGACGCGAGTTGGCATCCCAACGCGCCTATGATTGCTGGTAAGTATTTGTACACTCCTAGTTTTGGTGCATATGTTAACTTTTACTAGCAACCTCATGGAACGGCTGGGGTACCTCACAGGGAACTTGCACAGTCCACACTTGGAACGATGGCCTTGAAGAAGATGAAGCAGAGCCTAAGATTGGGAGGCGGGTCAATGCACAACTGCAGCATGATGAACGGCTTTACACGAGTCCTGAAGGCAGGGCGAGACGACACCCCATGTGGTATGAAGACATGATGAATGAGGAGTGAAAGCTCCTGCATCGCTGACCATTCTAGAATTCCGATGGATGGGTGAATACAAGTGCTGCATATAGGGATTTGGTGAGAAGTTGGGAATGCAATCGGATGTTCACAGGGACTTCCGATCTTGCTCAACATCGCTGTCACAGCGTTACAAGCACCGCGTTATCGTTCTACTCCACATACACCGTTCACACCACAACACACAGTTCGTAGACCAAATCAAGATGAATCCTGTGCATGCCTAAATTTGGATATAATCAAACTCCCGCTGGCCCAACCCCATACTGTACAGCCGTTTTGAGTATGCCATATTTCCTCTATGGAGCCCACAAAGCGAAGGCCGGTCTGTTCACCTCCAATGCCCCTAATACAAGATGATATGATGAACGGACCGGTGTCGTGGTCGAAGATGCAAAGGGAAGAGAATCAATGGTTGTGGCGTAGTAGCGTCTACGAGCCGCCGACGAGGATGTTGTTTACGGGAATGTGGACGAGCTTGACAACGTAGCCAATGACTCCTGTGATACGTTAGTTGCATGGACTTTGGGCGTGCATGCGACGTATCACTGACCCATGATCAAGAAACCGATGCCGACTGCTTGCGATATCCTGATGAACTCCTTCTTGTCGGGCTCTGTAGTCATGTTAGGCGTGGCAAGACCGGAATAGAGAGGCGATCGTACTTGTGCAGCGGTTCATGAACAGAGTGCCCTCCTTGAGGAACTCAGCGGGCATACTGCGCAGACGTTAGCCATCGCTCCCTCATCGTGCGATTCCAGTGTGGCTTACTCAGCGAACTCCTTGACGTTCTCCATGGCGACTGGTGTGCGGGTGGTGATAGGTGGGGGGTGACTTGAAAGGGTGGTGAGTTGAGTTGTGTTGGAGAAGTATCGCGGGCTGGACAAGTCGCGGACTCAGGGTAGCAGCTGCCAAATTACCAGACGGACGGCAATCTGGCCTTGCGGAGAAACCCGACAGGGGTAGGTGTTCTGCCAAGCACGCTAACTTTCACGCTAACTGCGAGCTATCGCATCCGCGTCCTCGATTGTCGCTCACCCTCACTCGTGCTCGCGCCGACAAGTCGTCTCTACCCGCTTCCCCAGGTTTGTCACCGAACGCAGTTACTCACTACGCAACAGACCGGCCAACGAGACGTGCGAGCGCAATCCGCTTTCGCTTCGACAAACACGCAGAGTCAAGGGTGGAAAGGGATCGTGTTTGGCATCTGCATCGAGTTGTCCTCGTTGCTCTCCATTTCTTCTTATTACTGGTAGCGCACGATTCAGCGCCTCATCAATTCGAAGGGACATTGTATACAGCAACTTCGCTTCGCGCAAACTGTACTGGAAGCTAGCAAAAGCGAGCGCAGGAGGCAGGCTGAGGCTTCACACACACACATCTCTCACACCACATCCTGTACCTTTCACATCTCCGCATCTGCCAGGGGCGATCGGACTATCCCGTCTTGCACTGAGCTGTCTTTCTGGACCTTGTCACCACGCGCCGACAGCGGCACTGTACGTATGGCCTTACTCTACGCTGTTTGTCTTTTCTCTCGACATCGCATTGCAACGGACTGCAAGTCCACACTTTCTTTTGCAACACCCTCTATCTCATCATGCTGATTTGTATGCCAATCACAGAGTTGCGTGTACTTTGGCTATTGATACTAGCACATCAAGTACCTAAGAGCGAATCTAAGAAAGAATACCGGAACAAACCTCATCGCTTACTGCAGTTGACTTAACATACCACAGCAGATATGGCTGACGACGACAACTTCGATATCGACATCTACGGCGATGACTCCTACCAAGACTCGAGCGTGCAGCAAGACACTACCATAACCGACTCCAACACCCCGAACACAGAGGCGAATGCTGCGACATCGAACCACGTACCGGATACTACCAAGACCGAGAACGGCGATCAATCGACCAAAGAGTCTACAGACGAGACGACAAACGGCGAGGGTCATCATGACCAGAGTACCCAACAGATCGCATCCACAGGAGGCTCGGCTGGCCTTGACGTTCACAAACAAGCACCTCAGCAACAGGGTACAAAGCGCAAGCAGGGCGAAGACGATGATCGCCCAACTGACCCCGGCGCCACTGCAGCTCTTATGATCAACGATGTAAATTGGTGGATTAGTGAAGAAGACATTCGCGGATGGGCCAACCAGAGCGGTTGTGAAGATGAGCTTGTTGAGGTAACCTTCAATGAGCACAAAGTCAATGGCAAGAGTAAAGGGTTAGTTGCACTTGATGCTTCGAGGCACAATATGCTAACCAACTTTTGAAGTCAAGTTTTCACTCTTTTGAACTCACCACAGGCAGCTACTGCTCTGAAACACCAAATCGAGAACCTCTTCAGAGACCAAGCCCACACGAAGAAGCCGACCGCCATCTTCAGTCCTCCGCATGTCAACCCATTCAAGACACTGCCAAAGGATGTTCCCGCGCGAGACAAGGGTCGGAACGACCGCGCTACCTCTGGAAACTACGGCAATCAAGGTGGCTACAACAACAGAGGTGGATATAACAACAACCGTGGCAATTTCAACAGGGGCGGCATGGGTTACCAAAACAACCGCAACTTTTCTCCTGCTGGTGGAAACATGGGTGGCAACATGGGAGGCTACGGTGCCCAAGCGCCGATGAACAACTTCGGTAACCCCATGGGCGGCATGAACAACTTCGGTGGCGGCTTCAATCGCGGCGGCATGATGGGCGGTAATATGCGTGGTGGTATGGGCAACCGTGGCCGTGGCGGCAATATGGGTATGAATCCTATGGGCACAAACCCCATGGGCGGCATGAACATGCCCATGGGTGGCAACATGATGGGCATGGGAGCCAACATGATGGGTATGGGTGGTGGTAACATGGGCATGATGGGAGGAATGGGTACGTCGAGAAATTTTCATACTCCGACTAGTGACTTACCCCCATCCTTTTAATTCCCCAATGGGACGATTACTAACAGCGAGGCTATAGGAGGCGGCTTTGGTGGCAACCCAGGATTTAACCCAGGATTCTTCCAAGGCAACCAAGGCGGCAACGATGGCAGCTGGCAAAACCCTCACGGCGCGAAGAGGCCTCGTCCTGAGTAGGGTTCAGATTCGGAGCATGCGAATCACGTACCGACGCGCCTATGCATGCTGCCGCTTCCAGGAGATCCATTCTCGACAGCAGAGCAAGCAGATTATGAATGCAAGTTGACGCAACGCCGTCTCGACGCGCTTGAGTGCAAACATCTACGGAGTCTGCATGGTCGTGCTCTTGGAGACAAGATGTCTAATGCGGCCCTAGACTGGATGATAGAGGGCACCTTTTTGACTGCAGTTCAAGCCTTCTATGCGACACGCTGTGGGCTGATGACCCACTTGGTATTTGGTCCTTCTTTTCTCGGCGTTTTAAGGGCAACGGGGCAACTTCCAACAATCAATATCTCTTCTTCACTTGTCTTATTAGCTTTTTCTCTTGTTTTGTTGAAGGGAATAGTATATCCTCTCGGAATTTGTAAGCCTCCATTTTGTTGGTACATCCTTGTTTTGGATGTTTCACACGAGTATGTTTAGCTCAGGAGTTTTGCGGTTCCATTTGGTACATGGAGAAACATGCGCTCGCATTTTTATTATACTGGTTGCAACCCAAGTACTTTGCCCGAGATCCGGCGCTATCATGTCGTGTTTTTACCGAACTGTTTTGGGCACGGAACACTTGTATTATTGTATCTGGAAGATGGTGTGTCTTGGGCGTTCGCATGTGAGCAATAATTTCATGACAAGTGGAAGAGACAAGGTGTGATCACCATCTGAAGTATTTTAGTCTTTGGTGGAAAAATACCATTGCCCTGGGTAATTTGGAGATTAGGCCCGCGGGGACCTGCATATGAAATCGGGCTGGGGTCTACAATATAGATCGAACGAGATGGCACACTAATCATGATGACGGCCAATCACACTTGCCATTAAAACAAACCCGTTGTTTTCTAGATGTCTTCCATGCTTCCGCTTCCACCTTGGGAACCGGGTAAGCAGGAGAGTTTGCAATTAAACTAGATTAGCAAGGAAGCTTGATGGTCACGCTAGCCGGAAGGTACCGCATCCTGGGGTAACAGTTCATTAATATGTGAGGATTATAGAGAAATGACGAGGGGATAGTGGATGAGGCTATATGGAAGATCTCCGTACCGAGGTGAAGGAACCTGGCTGATGGTCGACATTGTATATCTCTCTCCATCTCCTGAGGCGAAGGTCACGCAGAACGCTCAACAGTCGCAATGAAGATTTCCTATGCAAGTGCAGCAGTGCTGCTAAACAGTACCTTCGCTGTTGCTCAATGTTCGTTGCTCCATGATTCCAATACTATGGCGACAGCTAACACGATGAAGCGACGAATGGCACCGGTGTAAAATGTCCTTCAACTTCAAAGTTCTCTGCCATTTCGGCTGGTGCCTTCTTCGAAAAGTTGAACCCAGGCTGGAATGTTGGTAACACGCTTGACGCTGTAGAAACCGAAGGCAGTTGGAACAATCCGCCAGTCGTCGGCAGCACCTTTGACGATGCGAAAAGAGCTGGCTTTAAGAGCATTCGGCTACCCGTAACCTGGGCGTACCACTTCACTTCTCAATCACCAGACTGGACCGTGGATCCCGTATGGCTGCAACGTGTATCGGATGTTGTGGACATGATCACAGACCGAGGGCTGTATGCGATTGTTAATGTTCATCACGATTCCTGGACTTGGGCCGATCTTACGCAATCCAGCACGAACGTAACGGCTGTTGAAGAAAGGCTTGGAAAGCTTTGGAAGCAAATTGGAACCAAACTGGCTTGCAAGAGCGAGAAGGTCGCTTTTGAAACGATCAACGAGATCCCTGGGACTACCGCTGAACATGGCGCTGTCATTAACCGCCTGAACGATATCTTCCTTCAGGCTATTAATGATGCGGGAGGCCACAACCCAAAGCGCGTTGTTACTCTCGTTGGTGCTGGAGAAGATGGACTGAAAACGATACAGTGGTTCAAGAAGCCTGACCCCAAGTTCAAGAATCCATGGGGCATCCAGTATCATTACTATTCGCCTTGTAAGTGCCCTTCACTCATTCGAAGTTCATCAGAACTGACCCAAGAGAAGATGACTTTGTTTTCCAAGCTTGGGGAAAGACCACATGGGGCTCCGACGCCGACAAAGCTGCCCTCGAAGCTGATATCGCCGCTGTCCGTGGAAACTTCTCTGACATCCCACTCGTAATTGGCGAATGGGCAGTATCACCTGTCGCCACCGAGACAGCAGCACGCTGGCGATACTTCGATTTCTTTCTCCGCACAGCAGCGAAATACAACACCACAACTGTTCTCTGGGACAACGGAGCCGATTTTCTGGACCGCGCAACACATCTCTGGCGCGACGAGGTAGCTCTGGATATCTACCGTAACGCAGTAAAAGGCATTGCAAACGCGCTACCAGAAAGCACAACCGATGGCTCTGCAACAACACAATCGAGTTCCGCATACGTCTACCACCGCAAGAACGAAACAGTAGGGGACGTTACGCTAGGCTTCGCTTTCAACGGAAACACACTTAGCAAGATCAGCAGAGGAAGCAAACAATTAGCCAAAGGCAAGGACTACAGCGTCTCGGGCGAGAAGATTACGTTTGCAGCATCATATCTCAAGACGATACTCACTCCCACTTCGCCAACCGGTACCCTAGCAAACTTGACCCTAACGTTCAATCGCGGCGCCGCTCTTCAAGTCAACGTTCTCCAATACACCACACCGACCCTCTCTAACACCTCCGGTCCCTTGCCAGCAGCGGGCCAGGACTTACTTGTCCCAATCACGTGGTCGGGGCAGAATAGGCCTGCGGCTGTTAAGGCTGTCAAAGCCGATGGAACATATCTGGTGGACGATTGGACACAGTACCTAGGGCCGTTGCAGCAGGGACGCATGACTTATGATGGTCAGTGGAACTGGGATGCAGGACATGTTGTTATCAAGGCGGCAGCTCTAGATGCTGTGAGGGCAGCGAGCATAGACACTACATTTACCATTGAGTTCTATCCTAGAGAACCAGGAAATGCGGTAGAGTATACAGTTACTGTATAAGAGGGCTGTAGATGTGTTACAGTCGAGATAGTCATAGTGCAAATGAGCTGGACAGGTTATACGGGAAACCAAACGTGCCTTCATGATATAGTGGGTTCGTCTTGCATCGATTCCAATGCCGTTACGTTAGGATATGTACATAAGTTCGATAGGCCATCATTATAACAACATGATCCAATTCAAGCAACAGCGCTAGATACCTGAATGGTAGTCTCATCCCGGAAACGACCGCCGCCAATAAAGGTATGGATAGACAAGGGTGCTGATCCATAGACAGTCACGCCGCTATCAAGAGTCTGTTGGACGTTGAGGGCTACGAGTGTTAGCTTTTGTCACCAAAGTAATTCAGATTCAGATTTGAACTTACTTGCTCCGTCATAGGAAAAGTCGAACGCGGCACGGTCGCACCTATGGGCAACAGGAAGCTCAGCGTTGGGTGCTTCAACACAGCTGCTCCTCAGCTTGTGGTCTTCGTCGTATTCGTCTGATGTGAACTCCGCGTAGAGGTACAGTTGCTCAATGTCGGGGCCGAGTGTCATTTGGACGAACCACTGACCCTTGTTTTCGGTACGGGGGAGTACGGCGGCGGAGGTGGTAGCCACGAGAGCGAGGAGGACGGTAGAGAACTGCATCTTGGTGGAAACGATAATGATGGATATTGAATGATACTAGATTAGAAGGGAATGGATTGGAAGCAGTGGATGCTGGTGATGGTATTCTGCCTGAAGAATGTATGGGATTATATACATAACAGGACCTATGTAGTTGCTGAGCACTATAGTGGTGCCTGTCTCTCGTGATAACGGATCCGATAATACTATTGCCATAAAAAGCATTGGAATTTTACCTCGTAACGCGAGATTCATCCTAAACCAGCGGTGTGGAGTTACCTACGTTGTTCGCACTGATCGGCTGAGTGCTGATGTACCATGAAGGAACCCTGAATTTCCAATATCCTGCTGGAGCATTTACGAGTATCCCTGTGTTGATTCCCCCTTAGTAGGCGTTAGCTACTTTATTTTTAGAGTTGCATTAGCTCCCGGCGGAAGGGGCGGTACCTGATTGGGACAACGTCCTTCATCTAAACCAAGAATTCTTTTGGTAAGTACTGTACTTCAACGCTCGAAGCTCTGGAACATGTAGCAATCACAACTAAATACTGTTCCTCTCTTTTATTTCCCATATGTTGCTTTTCTGTATGGCCTAATACTTACTGATCTCGGTGAGGTAGGAGTCCAGGCCCCTTCATCCACCGGGTGAATCGCTTATGAGCATGAGAGAGAAAGTGAGGAAAATCTCCGAGCTACCATAGTCTACGGCGCCGCCATACCTGAACAAGCTTTTCAGGCCGAGAACACGATATTTAGTATAGTAAGGTATGGTTGTAAAGCATATTGGGAACACACATGCGCCGAAAAGGACTATGCTACGCTCACTGGAAGACAATACTACTAACGGACACTACGCCAGAACGACCTGACCACTACTGCCGAGCGGGACTATTAATGGGCCATCTCATAATACTGCCGCGACACTATACTCGCGTATTAACCCTTTCCTTTTTCGACAATTATCGACCTCCACATCAGCATTGGACTTATGGTGATAGAAGGTTCCTAACACGACCGCCAAGGCGTTTGTCAGGTTCACAAGCGAAGGACCGGATAAGATACCTAGCCCAAAGACATAGTGCCTTTGTTAGGTATTGAGCTTTGAATTTGTGGATAGCTGATCTCGACTGATGGAAGTAGCATCGTAGCTGTACAGCCAAGAATAAGGGCAAGACTATAACTAACAATTGCGTTGGCATGTTGGTAATATGTCCATCGTTCTGGCTCCTGAAGAGCGGTCATCTGGTGGTTTTGTGTAACAGTTGTGGCTGTTCGACGATGAGTATGTATTGTGATGCAGCTACGTCGTCGTCAGGCACCTTCTAACAACAGAAAGGCTGGCTCTAGCCTTACCGACTGATACCCGTTGTATTCTTGTGTATCTTCCTGTTCATGGTAAGAGTTCCAACTTATGCATAGGCTATCACCATGTCTGCTGTATCTACTCAGTTTATCTTGTAACCACTCTTCACTCTTCTGCACCAGCAATCTCTCTCCAGCAACCTTACATATACAATAAAGACAGCCTATGCCTGTGAATCCAATTGAATTGCCTCACCGTACTGCGGATTCCCATTCTTTCAGCGCAAATCTTAGTCTTACTTCGACGTCGCTCTCAATCCAAAAGTGCCCTGCGCCCACGACTTCAACACTGGTGAAGCGCGATGCTGGCTCAGCTTTCAATTGTTCTGACCAGTCGCGAATCCTCTTCGCAGAAGTGAAGGCGTCTTGATCCCCGAAGATGGCTAGAGATACGTGCTTACCAAGCACGTCCTGGTGATCGTCCTTGGACTTGCTCCAGAACCTATGTATCAAGGCTGGTGCAGCAAGTGTAGAGATTGGCGGTGTCAGTGGCGAGATAAGAAGATAACGCACGTCGGGCATTGTGATTGTCGCACTCTTCGCTTCCGATCGTGGCATTGGTTCGTGGCTCTCTGTCCGCCTGTGGCTAAGGCTTCTCAACCGTGTTTTGATCTCATGGCGCGTACCGCCTTCGAGACTTCTTCGGACATCTCTGCTACTTCTACGCTTCTCTGGGCTAGTCTCCTCTCCGCCCATTGTAACCGGAGGTCTCGATTCATGTCCTGCCCTGCTTTTCCTCCTAGCTCTAGTCTCATCTCGAGCTAGGTTGATCCATCCTAGATTGCTCTGGTCTGCCAACCTGCGAGCGCGCAGGATTATTTCATCGGCTGCAGTACCCGTCACTGGAGCTGAGAATGGTTGTAGTATGGTCGGTACAGGTGGTAGATGTCTAAGGATGAGGGAGCCGTATGAATAACCTCCTAGTATGACTATGGGAGATTGGTCGTCATGCGCCGACGATGATTCGCTTTGGTTTGAGGGGGTCGGAAGCTGATCGGGCGCGAGATTCAGGTCGCAGGTAATGCGTAGACGTAGGTAGGACATGTAGTGCATGAAGAATGCTGCAAAGGATGTATAGTCATCTAGTTCGGGTCTTCCAGACCAGCTAGTACGCCCTTTAGATCCGTGCGCACCTCTAACGTAGCTTAGTCGGATGATTCTATGGTCAAGATATATCACTAGACGTACCTGAAGTTGAAGGTGCCCACCATCCAACCAGCACGTAGGAACTCGTCTACCACGATACCAACTACGCGATCGTCGTAACTACCTCCCATTGGTGCATATGGATGTGCCATGACAACACCTCTCCTCTTCCATTCTACGATATCGCCCGATTCCTTTGGCTTGATTAGAGTATCTGGATGGTACACGCGGCAATCGAGCGTCGTGTCATCATGGATCGAGGGTATCGTGAAGCTGTAGTGGGCGTCTGGTGGGCGACGCATCTTCTGGGCCAGATCGAGACCCAATAACAATTCTCATTGCATCTTCGAGAGACTAAAATGCTGGATAGCAACTGGCACAAACGTAGACAGGATGGTTTGACTATGCGATGATGGAGGAGTGTGGGGTTCAGAGTCGCGGAAAGCGCTCCGCTGACGCGAGCCCGCGCTTACTAGCGAAGACACCCTAAGACGCGCTGAAATAGACGATAACTCCTTCAATACACGACTTCACATCCCTATCAAAGGGCACAATTTACACATATATCAAATTCTAATCCTCCGTGTTGACTAATCTGGCGCTTTGGTGACATGCTTGCAAACGTGGGTAGCAATCACATCTGAGATGACCGCTGTCAATCACCCAAGCGAGTCTGGGCTGACATGCAGGATCCCAGATAATGTTCAACCCTACAGCCTGGTGAATGCGACTACCATCCAGTCCTTCGTCTCTGAGTCTGAAAGTCAACCGTATTTACGTGGGAAGTTTCCAATCGTCATGGAAGGCTCCTGAAGTTGGGTGATACGATATGGGCTGTGAACGATATGGACATATCTGTGATTCTTCGACAAGTGAATCAGCACTATATCTTGGTCGCGCTGTGCTACCTCCATAAAGCAGCATTGAATCGTGCCTGTCATGCATGCGGGTCAGTGTTTGAACCGTGGCCTGTGAGAGCCGCCATCATTGATATCGGGCGACATTTTACTGCTTGATGAGGGAAAACTCATGCTTATATCGTAAGTGTTACATCTATCGTCAGAGAGTTAAACCGGGCATAGAGAGCGGCTCATGCATGCGGCGGGTGACTGGCCCCAACCTTGTGGCATCAGCCGTCATCCACTAGAGAATCAGTGTGAGAGTAACAAGAAGTGGCGATTGAAGATTATAAATTATCCGCGTCCATTTACATCCAGAGTATAATGCTCTAGATAGAGTGAAGCCAATGACCACTGCTCTAGAAGCATAATCCTGCAACCAACTACTACCAGCATCAAGGATGCCATGTACAAATCCTAGAGCGGACGAAGCGCACCACTCCGGTCTTCAGACCACCTGCCAGCGATGGCCTGTCGCGTGCTCTTACCCCAAAAGGCAACTGGCATAGCAACCAGCCCACCCAAGACCTGGAAGATCATGAGTTCAATACCAACCCACATGTATCCGTGAGCGTCGATCCAAGGCACAAGCGCAAAGCTCATGGCAAAGGAGAGGATGTAGCATCCTCCACCAACAACAGCGATAGCGGGTGCAGCCCATCGCGGGAAGGCTTCAGTGACCCAGAGTGTGTTTGCGATCATGAGTGTTATGAAGGAGAAGCCGTTGATACCGTACGCGAAGTAAATGGCAACAGGTTGCCAATGAAAGTGAACAGCAAGACCATAGAGCACTGAGCTGAGCGCGCCGGTGATGACGGGTAGGATGTAGCCGACAAGATAGTGCTCCGCCTCTAATACCCCTCGATTGCGGCTTGAGAGGCGTTTCAACACCTTGCAGAAGAGCAAAGCAAATATGGGCAGACCACATAGGGCTCCGAATCCCGATGCGACATTGACAGTGCCAACAACACTCGGCGACATGTTATAAGGCGGTGCGATGAGAATGCGCGCGTACGTTGCGCCGATGAAGATCATGCTTGCCGAGTTGAAGGCAGAGGCAACGAAGACCCAGAAGATAAGTGGGTTGGCAGCACAGTAGGCCATTTGGATGATGCAACGACCCGCCGAAGCCCATGATGCAAAGGGTGAGCGCGATAGACCGGCCTTGTCACGAAAGCCTGCAAAACCAGTGCGCAAGGGGTATTCGGGCAGATCGCGATATATCTCGGAGTCCTTCTCGCGATCTTCGTAGACCGTCAACTTCTCGGTAGCACTTTGCAATAGGATAAGTCCATTGAAAGCCACAGTTGGCCTTTTGAAGTATGTTTCGGGATAGAGAGCGAAGGTGACAGCGAGCGAGACGACAACGGGAATGGTCCAGTAATGATAGAAATTTCGCCAGTTGTTTCCGTGGTCTGCTAATACAGGCACCAGTGCAACGCCAGAAGTGCCAAAGCATCCTGCCATGCACCACATGAGTGCTACTGCTGCCGATCTCTGGTTGATGTAGGTAAGGTCAATGACCATCAGGAAAGCCTAGGGTTATTAGCGAATGAGATCGTAGTTGTCTTGAAACACTACTTACCAGGGACAACGCAAGCCCCTCGCCGAGAC